TTGGACGCTTAACCGACTGCGCCACCCAGGCGCCCCTCCTATTCCATTTTAAATGAAGTTTCCTTTTTTTCATAGTGGAAAATAACTTGCCTGAATTGTGTTTTAGTGTTTTGGTGAAAATAGAATTTGTGAGCAAAGAAATCAGATGTATTTACCTAAGCAAACTCTCGAAGGTGTGGGTTGACTCCTCCTGACTGCTTTAGTAAAATGCAAACAGAAAGATGGAACCGTTCAGCAAAAAGGAAGGCGAACTGAAAAGATTTGTAAAATTCTCAGTCTTTCCATGTTGCAAAAAGTGAGAAAGTGGTTAGAAGAGAGCACTAAGGATGTGGCCAGTGGACCATTTAAGATTTGTGTAGCTCAGCTGTTTCTACATTCGCTAGGAGCTTTGATGGGAGAGGCCTCTCCCGTCACAGCTCCTAATGCCAGGGCCCGCCCTGGGGAGCAGAGTGCTTTCAAAGCAAAAGCTGCCAGAGCTTGGAGACCTGCTTGCTGCCTGGTGCTGCCTCACTCTGAGGGCTCTTCTTGGAGCACTGCCGGCCCCAGGTGCAGCCCCTGCCTTCCAGAGGGTGCAGGCAGCAAACTTTGATGGAGGATATTGTTTCCAGCAGGGGAGAGTGTACAGGCTCAGGGGACATGGCTGCCTCCGCCTGGATTTCCAAGGATGGAGCCACCCAAAACCATTAGGTGCTGGGCTGCCTGGAGCCTCGGGGCCCAGCCTCTGCCGGGTAAAGCTGCTGGGACAGGAATTGCCCCGGTGGGTCCTGTAGGCAAGCCCTCTGTCCTAGGAGTCCTTGACAACAGCTTATCATGTCAAAGAGGATTATTATAGAGCCTTAAGGTCTAATGGAACTTGCCCTGTTGGGTTTTAGACTTGTTGGGGATCTATCACTCTTTTCTTATTTTCTCTGTCTCCCTTCTGGAGCAGAAATGTCTGTTTTATGCTTGTAATGTGGAAGCATTTAACTTGTTCGATTTCACTGATTCACAGCCAGAGTGCAGTTTACCTCAGGTTGAATGGTACCTTGAGTCTCACTCACATAAGATTTAGTTGATATTCAGGTGAGACTTAGAACTTTAGACTTTTGAGTTGATGCTGGAATGAATTAGGACTTTTGGGGGCTGTTGGAATGGAATGAATATATTTTTAATGTGAAAAGGATGTGAATTTGGGGGGTACCAAGGGCAAAATGGTAAGTTTCAATTGCCGTATCTTCTCATCTACTTACCTTCTGCAGTTTTTACTCTAGAAGTTTTATTTGGAATGCTTTTCAATAATTTCCATTACCTCATCATGTTCATTTTTTTTCCTCATTTTTTTTTATTAAGTGGAATATATTATGGTACCTGATTTAACTTTCTTGGTTGGTAATTCTACCATGTCTGTCATTTCTTGCTGTCCTACTGATTGATGTTTCTTCTAGTTACGGGTCATATTTTCCTGCTGTTTTGAATGCCTACAATTTTTTATTGGAGGGTGGATATTGTAATGTAAATTTGTAATTTACATCGTTGCCTGCTGGATTTTATTGTATTCTTTAGTGATGGCCTTTTTCTGGCACTGTTCGGTAATGGGTGGTTTACCTAGCTGCTTTTGAGAGCTTCTTTATCTTTGTCTTCTCCTCCTCCTTTTCCTTCTCCTTCCTTCTTTTGTTAAATAATTCAATATTTTTAGTGTATTCACAGAGCTCTACAATCATGTCAATTTTCACCACCCCCAGAAAGAAACCTCTTACCCATCAGCAGTCATTTTCCATGTCTTCCCCAACACCCCCCAACCACAAATCTACTCCTAAGAATTTGTACACTTGGGACGTTTCATATAAGTGGAATCATGCAGGCCATATGTGTTTTTTGTGACAAGGAGTTGAATTCCTGAGTCATATCATAACTTTGTGTTTAATCTTTTGAGGAACCGCCCTCATGTTTTCAAGGCATCTGCATCATTTTACATTTCCGATAGCAGAGTATGAAGGTCCCAGTTTCTCTACATCTTGATTAACATTTGTTATTACCTTTCTTTTTGATAATAGACATACTAGTGGGTGTGAAGTGGTATTTCATTGTGGTTTTCTTGAAAAATCTTTATAGATAAATAATTCACATATCATACATTTCATACTTTTAAAAAGTGTATGGTAAAATAATTTTTAGTATCCCCAGTTGATTTTAGAACATTTTTTCACCCCAAAAGAAGCTCTGTGCTTATTGGCTATCACTCTCTCACCCCCTCTTCCTTCTTTAGTCTTAGGCATCCCCTAATCTATGTTCTGTCTCAATAAATTTGTCTATCTAGATATTTCATACAGATGGAGTCATGTAATATGTGGCCTTTTATTACTGGCTTCTTATACTCATAATTCCCACCCCAAGGAAATCTTTAGTAAAAGGTGAAAGATTTATGTGATCTGAAGAGAAACTCCAGACCATTAAACTCATACAATTTTCATGAAGTTCATCCATATTTTTTTTGCATGTTATTTATTTATTTATTTATTTATTTATTTATTTATTTATATGAAATTTATTGTCAGA